GTTATATTCCTATCTAATATAGTAATATATAGCCCTCTAAGTCCTATTAATAAGAGACTATATTTAGGGATCTAGTAGAAGTTAATAATAGCTAAGGAGATTATATTAACCTTAGAGCCTTAATCGGCCTATATTAAATTAAGTAATATAAGGAATCTAATTATCTTACCTCTAACCTTAGCTATAACTATATAGTCTACTTAATAGGGTCTAGTAGCTATATATAACCTAGGTATTATATCTAGACCTATTAGCCTCTAGAATCCGGGGGGTAATCCCTTAGCTTCTAGTAAACCTAATATAATATATATCTTAGATATAGCTCCTTTCTAGGTAATATATTTATAGAGATATTTAATCGTATTCGGGGAAATTTATATAATCTCTATAAGGTTTACTTAAATAATAAACCTCTTAAAAAAGGCTAAGTAATTAAAGGGGACGGTATTATCTTAATTAATAATAGGGGCTAACCTATCCTATCTAGGCTTCCTAGCTTTACGGCTAATATAAGTCGTTAGTCCTCTATTCTAGGCGGTTGCCCTAGGGCGTATAGCTACTACGTTAGCTAGGTCTTCTAGTAATACCCCTCGATAGAATAGTTAATTAGGTAATAGTACCTATAACCTAGGTATACCGAATTCTAGTCTTACTTCCTTAGAAATAATTAGCGAATAGGCTTTCCGTTTCTTTTTAATTAATAGTCTAGTAATAATTAAGAATACCTATATTAAGGTAGAATCTAAGACGTCTTTAATTACTTCTAGCTTAGCGTAAGTAATCTTATTATTAAACTTAATATTATACGAATAGGAATTAACTATAGTACCTATATCCGATAGAGTAATATTATTATCCTAGGGTTAGGCTAAGTTATTATCTCCGGATCTAGAAGACTTAACCTCTATAATAGTACTTACCTTTATTAGCTATATAGTAATATTATCTATAGCTAGGCTTATATTTATAAAAGCTATATTAGATATAGTATTCTAGGCTTCGATACCTTTCTAGTATAGGATATCTACTTCTTATTATTAGAGTTATATAGCTATAGGGTTATATTTATTAATAAACGGGGTATATCCCTTAATACTATAAGTATAGTATATTACCCTTATATAGCTATTAGCTCTAGTTAATAACTATACTCTATTAATAAAGGGGTTAATTAATTATAATAGTAACTAATAGCTATCCTAACTTCCTATATTCTATTACTATTATTAAAGTACTTAAGCTTAGGGGTATTATTAATATAATAGCTATATTAGAGGCTTAGAGGTAAATAATCCTTATTAGCTTATCTATTAAGGCTTATAATATAGGCCTAGCGGGATTTAGTATACCTAGGTAATATATTTAGTATTTTAATATCTATTCGCTAAATTAAGTATTACTTATATAGGAATAAGAAGGGCTAGCCTCTAAGTAAAGCCCTAGGGTTAAGTAAGGTTAATTAGCTAATATTATATAGGAGCTTATTTCTATAATATCTAGATCTATTAAGGGATAGGGTAAGTAATTCTAGTAAATATAGTAGTTATTAATAATATAGTATTACTATCTTACTAGTTATCTAGTAATAAGAGGCCGTAGAACTTAGCTAAAGCTCTCTCTATACTCTTACCTTACTAAGCTCGTACTATTTATTCGATAAGGCTAATCTTAATCTACTCGCTTAGGCCTTAATAATAAGTTTCGATCTTTAATAATCTATATAAGCTAATCGGATAAGGGGTATAAGCGTCTCCTTAGCCCTTTCTCCCTATATAATAGACCTTCCTTAAATAGATTCCCTAATAGAGCTCGAGGTCCTATAACCTTTAATATAAAATTAACGTACTCCTAGGGATAGGTAATTACGTTCTAAGATAGATAGAAGGTATAGCTCCTAGGTCTCTAGAGTCTCGACATCTAGTATATCTTAGGGTAGGCCCTAGGCCCTAAGGTAGTATCTATTAAGGGCTTCTTTAGGGTATTACTCTAAGGTTATAGGCTTATTATCGACTATATTAGCGACGATAATAGGGAATCGCTCCTTTAATAAGGTTTCTACGAGAAGAGCTTCTATAGGTCCTAGGTTAGGATAGTCTAAAGTATTCCTTATAGCTACGTAAGAGTCTAAGAATATAGCCGTAATTCTATTATATAATCGGTCTATTACTATAAAGTATTATCGAGGGTCCAGGGGTAACTATCTAATATAATTAAACTTATATCTTAGACGATTAATCTATCTAGCTATAGACTATTTATTATTAAAAGTACTATAATTAATAAAAGTAAGTAGTCCTATTATAGCTAGAGGTCTAGGGGCTATTAATAATATAGTCTATTATTAAAACTAATTAGGACTTAAACCTTAATAGGAGGGACTTAAACCTTAATAAGAGGGACTTAAACCTTAATAGCTAAAAGGTGAATTTTAATAGGTAATAGGAGGTATTCTAGGGAGCTAAGGTAATAATACTAGGGAATAGGTTTATAGTAATAAGGCCTCTATAGAAGTAATGCCGTTATTACCTAGACCGTAGTCTTATAAACGAGATAACTCTAGACCTCTATTAATAGAATTAAATATACTAGGAGATAATAGACGTATTAATATAGGATAGATAGATAGATTAGGAGTAGGAGATTCCCTAGAAAGTCTTATTAATGCCTAAGAGCTAGCGGACTAAGTAAGAGTAAACTAGCCTATTATTAAGGAAGTTAATATCTATAATCCCTAATTATAATAGGAAAGCTTCATCGATAATCGGCCCGATTATCCTAATAATCCTACTTCTAAACCTATACTAGATCCGTCTAGTAAGATTACCCTAGTAGTTATCTATAATTATTATAATATTATAAATATCGCTCTAAGGTAATTATATAGATATATATATAATTAATAACTTAGGCTTATACTACTAGGATTACTTAATAGGGCTATAGATAGGGATATTAGTATAAAGCCTATAATGAAATCCTATCGATAGGATTCTAGTAGTCTTATATATCGGCTCGGGTCGAATAGCGATAATAGATATATATCTTTAGAGATATATTAATTATATAGAGATAAGGATATAGTTATTAATTCTCGGTTATCTAGTAGTAGTAGTAGTATTATCGTACGCATTATAGTGCCTCTTTAATAAGATAGTACTATAATCGTTAAAGATATAAGTATAAATAGTAATAACTAAGTAAGTAATTAGGACGGAACTAATCGAGAGCCCTGCTATAGTCACTAGAAATAGGAAGCTAGCAGAAAATCGCATAAGTAATAGGGGTTTAAGTCGGTTATTATATTAGTTAAAAAGAGAAATCAAAATGGATATCTAGTGAACCTTCAATGCTGTATGCCCCCGCCTGATGCATACCCCCATTGCATTGCATTTTCAATCCCGTACTCCCACACTTGTGGTGCATCGCAGATAAGATAAGGAATTTTCTTGAACCCCACGCTTTTGTCGCCGCAGAAAGAGAATGTGCGATGCAGCTGGCGCTGGCGCTCTTCGCCGTGCCGCGCTCCTCTCCTGCACCACGGCGAGATCCAGGGACCAGCCGCAGAAGAAATCACAATGGCGAAACCCGGCATCTCAAAGAAGGCGAAAGGTATGTTGCCCGATGCCGTCCAGGCCTCTGCCCTCCCCTGCCCTCCTCTGCCCTCCTCTGCCCGCCGTGTCCTTCGAGGCCCCTCCCCAGCAGAACACGGCACACAGACCACAGCACTGACGAGACGGCAGCCCCCTCCAAGCACTCCCGCGCCGCGCGCCGCGAGACGGACGTGGACATTGACACGGACAAGTCGCTCAAGAACGTCAAGGCGCCCGCCGAGTCTGTCGATGCGCGCCCCTCGGTCCTGCAGGCCCAGCACGGCGCCGGCATCACCAAGAGGAGCAAGGCCGGCCGCAAGGCCGTGCTCAGCACCAAGGCCCGCCGTCGTGCCGAAAAGGGCGCCGACCGCGCCGAGGCCATCATGGACCGCACCGCCAACAAGAAGGAGAAGAGCAGGGGCCACTCCAAGGTCATCCAGGGCCGGGCCAAGAACTGGGAGGACGTCAACAAGAAGTCGCTTGACGAGGTCAGGCGCGCGCTGATGGCGGCCGAGAACGACTCGGCCGACGAGGACGAGCATGTCAGGGACGCTGCGGCGGCTGGCGAGGACAAGGGGGACAAGGAGGCCGAGACGGACGAGGAGATGGATGCTGCGCCGGTTGTGGCAGGGAAGGAGACTGCTGCTGCTGCTGCTGCTGCGCCGGCGAGTGACGAACTTGACGAAGAGATTCTATGATACCTCTGATTTTAGTTACGGGGACTTGACATGGGTCCAGGCGTTTTTCATTACGAATAGATGATTTCACGCATTCTTCTTGGCTTGCATGATGTGAGGCCTCTGAGGAGCCGTTGACCGTCTGTTTATTGCCCCAGGTTCGATGTTTGCCATGGTTATGTTCACTTGAGGCCTTCTCTTCAGCCTCTTCAGCGCCCTTCAGCCTCTTCAGCGCCCTTCAGCCTCTTCAGCGCCCTTCAGCGCCCGTCAGCCCCTCACGGTGCGTCCCCACAAAACCTACCAAGCTCCAAGGCCTCAACAGGGATGCGCCAGAACCTCCAAACATCAATCCCCAAGCTCAACCTCGAAAACATTTCCACCTCGTGCACGCCTTCACCCTGCCACCCCCCACCACCCCGAACCCCCATCCCGCCCAATATGCCTCCAAAACGCATGACTGCGAACCCCATCAAGCCAGCCCGCTACCGGCCCGGCAAAGCCCACCAGCCAGACTCATCCTCCGAATCCGACTCGGACGCCGACGACAAGGGCGCCGGCCACGACGATGACGCCGCTGCCGCCGCCGCCGCCGCCATCCCGCCACCCCCCAAGGCCCCCTCCGCCGGCAAGATCATCTCCTCTTCGGCCCTGGGCAGCCTGAACCTCGACCAGCGGCGCCGCGAAGCGCAGGCCAAGGAAGCGGCGCGCGTCGCCGCCGACAGGGCGGCGCAGGCCGCAGCGGAAGAGGGGTTCGTGACCGAGGAAGACGAGGACGAAGACGAAGTCAGCGAGGAAGACGAGAGCAGCAGCAGCGAGGAGGAAGAGGAGGCGGCGCCGCGGCGGCTGATGCTGCGGCCGAAATTCATCCCGAAGAACCAGCGCGGTGGCCCTTCGGCGACGACGGCGCCGGCGGCCGAGGAGGAGGAGGAGCGGCGGCAGGCGGCCGAGCGGGCGCGGCGCGACGCCGAGAGGGACGCCATGGTCGAGGAGCAGATCCAGAAGGACCTCGCGGCGCGCAGGGCGGGGAGGCAGCACTGGGAGGACGCCGAGGGGGCCGGGCGCCGGGGGCGAGTCGGGACTTCGGACGTCGACACGGAGGACGCGGTGGTTCCTCCGGCTGAGAGGCCGCGGTGGCGGCTGCCCGAGCTGGGGCGCTTCAAGCGGGAGAGGGACAGGCTGGCGGAGCGGGAGGCTGAAATTGCCGAGCGCGAGAGGCGGGAC